AACCACCTAACCCAACCGCCCAACCAACCACCCACCCAACTAACCAACCAACGTACTACTGTTCGTAATTATTATAATTTTTTTTTTTTTTTGCAGCCGCGTCACTTGACTCATTGTGTTCGTTGCTTATCGTACGCATTGTGTTGCCGTCAGCTTTCGCAGTGTCGTCGGCCAGCCAGTGTGACAGTTCATAATTGCCAGGTTCACTTATTCGACCTTGCGACACAACATGGCCGACGTAATTGTTGTTGTGAAAGAGGCTGTGGCTGGAAAGGATATCGTCGTGAGAGAGACAGTGTGTGAACGCGATACTGAAAACGAAAGAGACTTTGAACACTGGGAAGGGGTTGTCGCCACGAAAACACGTGTGTACTACGCGTTCATCGATGACACCCTCGCTTTGAGGGTCGTGGCGGGGCTGGGGTACGACGACCATGATCGCCTTGATGAGGTTGTAATGCACGCAAAAAAGCTTTCGGATGTCGTTCCCGACGCCTGCGAACCCCCCGACTTCGATATGATTGGTCATTTGCTAAGGTGCATCGTGTCAGTCGTTGTGGTCGAGCATGTGGAAAGGTTAGCACCCAACGCATGGTATTTCTCCAAACTCGACAGGCCGCTGCAACGCCGTACTTTTCTCCACGGAGATGTGCGCACTGTGTTGCCAATGGACGGTTGCCAACAACAGTACCAAAGTGTCAACGAACCATCATCCCGGTCGTCTCATGCTTAGTCCCAAACAGGTGGGTTGACTCACAATATCGTAAAGGTTTTTAACATTCGACAGTGTTCGAGACCTCGACTACCCGCTCATCTCATATATATGTATAAAGTGTGTTCCCCCTCCTCGTGCGGTACATGCAGAACATCATGTTTGCGTGATTCGTTGCTCGATCGTTGGGTTCATAACTTACGGTGTCGGTTTCATGTGAATTGCAGCACTTTTTGAACACCATACGAAAGAAGCGACGATGCATTGTGCGCCAACGATTGTCCGATGTTACCACACCACAAAACTGACAGGCGGCGACACCGTATACTATTACGAATCAATGACTCCCGTAACAGATCCTGTCGGCGATGCAGTCGGATACCGCAATGGGGACAAGAAGGTGGATCGTCATTTCGTTGTGAGCATCGAGGAGGAACGAGTCGTCGGGCTCCCTATAGAGACTTATATTCGTGACGAAGCCATCGAACACGTTTGTGTACTAATGTCTAAACCGATCACGTACTTCAGCATCTTTGTTCTCAAACCGGTCGACGGTGATTTGATGTATGATATCGTCTTCCCCCTTGTGCATCGCATAGTATACACACACTACGGAACGGTTGCTCGGGACGGCGTCTGGCGGCTGGTCGTGTCACCGCCCTATTTTGTCTCCGATGGCGAGGATTTCTCTGCCATGTTTTATCCTTGCAGTGCGATCCAGCGATGAGTACCGTTCGTTTTTTTTTTTTTCCTATGTTTCTTCGTTGTTGGAGAGAGACAAAATGATGGTTTGAAATATTGCACATTTTGTGTATACATATGCAATCGTCATCTCCCATGTGTTTGTTATATGTTTTGAGTGTTTTTTTATTCACCTGCTTTGCGTTGTGAAATTTCTTTTCGTTTTCGTTATGTGGAGGTACAGTACTAAGGTCATCGGTGCCCGTGATGTTGTGTTTTGTAGATTTCTACAAATTCACATATAAGCGACATAACAATATTCACCCATTCCCATACATGGACCGCCGACGACGCATGGCTGGCGTGCGGGCCAACGCAGTCGTGTTTGGAAATGGGACAGATACAGATCCTTTCCGCGACGAGGAGCTGACAGTCGCCGAGATTAGTAGTCGGTGGCCAGGACCCGCAATGCTTTTGGAGGAGGCTGTTACTTTTGCTGGGCTAGAGGAGCACCTGCAACAGTGCAGGAATCTGCTTATTGGACGTGCAAATCTCGAACCAAAGCAGAATCGTTACAATGGATACGTCGCTTTTTCTCGGATGTGCGGGTTCCGCGTTTTCCGACAGATATTGCCAGATGAGTTCCAAACGGCAAAGCGGGAACGATGACCAGATAAAATCATTCGAGGTTTTGAACTACGACAATGTGATCCTCCTGAAAACGCGCGCCCACGTCGATGTGCACGGCGGTAAATGCTTCACAACACGAGAGATAGATAGATAGATTGATTGATAGATAGATAGATAGATAGATAGAGAGAGAGAGAGAGAGAGAGAGAGAGAGAGAGAGAGAGAGAGAGAGAGAGAGAGAG